GGTTTAGCATAGGAAAAGTACAACAAGGAAATAAAGGAAATAAAGGAAATTGTTCAAATGGAACAGAATAAACAAAGGAGGTGGGGTGGCACTATATGTCAAAAATGAATACACTTGCACTGAAATTCAGGATTTTGAGAGTTGCCCTGTTGAAAGCGTGTGGGTAAGGATAGAGTGTGGGGGGGGGTTATTATTGTGGGGGTATACTACAGACCTCCAAACCAACCAGATGAACTGGATGATGTATTTGTACAACAGCTTGCTAAACTTTCACAGAGACAGGATGTAGTGGTAATGGGAAATTTCAACTATCCAGATATTTACTGGAAATCTAACTCTGCTAGACCTGGGGCATCCCACAGATTCCTGAATAGTCTTGTGGACAACTTCATCTCTCAGAAGGTGGCGGTGGGGGCCAAAGGATCTGCTATCCTAGATTTAATCCTGACTAACAGGGAAGAAATGGTTGATAAAGTGAACATTGTGGGATCCTTGGGGAATAGTGACCATGTCAGCTTGGAATTTGACATAGAGAAGGATGTGAAACCAGGACATAGTAGGACTTGTATCCTGGACTTCAGGAAAACTGATTTAAAAAAACTCAGAGAAATATTTGGTAGGATCCTATGGCTGGAAATGCTGAGGGGGAAATCTGCACAGGAAGGATGGGTGGTGCTGAAAAATGAAGTGCTTAAGGAACAATCTCAAACTGTTCTGGTAAGAAAGAAAGGTGGGAGACGGGTAATGAAGCTGAGGTGGCTGAACAAGGAACTCTCTAAAGAGCTGAGACTAAAAAGGGAAATGTATAGGAAATGGAAGGAGGGTCAGATTACTGAGGGTGAGTACAAGAAGCAGGATCGAATCTGTAGGGATGGTGTCAGAAAGGCTAAAGCACAGATGGAGCTGAAGCTCGCGAGGGATGCTAAAAATAACAAAAAAAATTCTATGCCTATATTTGGAGCAAAAAGAACAGGGATGGGGTAAGCTCATTGCTAGGGGAAGACGGTCAAGCCTTAACAAGGGATGTGAAGATGCCGGGAAAATGGCGTGGCGTCCCGGGTGATTTTTGGGTTGCTCCCGAGTATCCTCGTCCTTGCATTTACATGAAGGGAAGTTTTGAGTGGAGTGCCGCAGGGCTCGGTCCTAGGCCTGGTGTTGTTCAATGTTTTTATAAATTACCTGGAGGAATACATAGAGGGGATGCTTATCAAATTTGCAGATGACACGAAGCTGGGTGGGATTGCTAATTCTGAAGAAGACAGAGTCAGGATTCAAAATGATCTAGATAGGCTGGAACAGTGGGCTGAGACAAATAAAATGAATTTCAATAGAGAGAAGTGCAAAGTCCTACACTTAGGTACAAAAAATCAAAGGCACAGATATAGAATGGGAGGGACTTGGCTTGACAGCAGCACATGTGAAAGGGATCTGAGTGTTCCGGTTGATCACAAGTTAAACATGAGCCTGCAGTGCGATGTGACTGCAAAGAAAGCTAATGCAATCTTAGGATGCATTAACGGAAGCATTGTGTCCAGATCACGGGAGGTGGTAGTTCCACTCTATTCTGCTATGGTCAGGCCTCACCTGGAGTATCTGTATCCAGTTTTGGGCACCACATTTTAGGAAGGATGTTGACAAGCTCAAGCGTGTTCAGAAGAGAGCAACCAGGATGGTGAGAGGGTTGGAATCCAAGTCTTATGGGGAAAGGCTGAAAGAGTTGGGTATGTTTAGCCTGGGAAAGAGAAGGCTTAGAGGGGACATGATTCTTCAAGTATTTGAAGGGCTGTCATGTAGAAGATGGAGTGGATCTTCTCTCTTGCTCCAGATTGCAAGACTAGATCTAATGGGTGGAAATTACAAGGGAGTCGTTACCGGCTAAATATCAGGAGAAACTTCCTAACTGTAAGAGTGGTTGAGCAGTGGAACAGTCTGCCTTGGGAGGTGGTGGATGCTCCTTCGCTGGACATTTTCAAGCAGAGGCTGGACGACCATCTTTCGGGTATGTTGTAGGGCTATCTTTCGGCTATGTTCCTGCAGAGTGCAGGGGGTTGGAGTAGATGACCTGCAAGGTCCCTTCCAACTCTAACATTCTATGATTCTATATTGTCACCCTGTTGATTTAATTTATATGCAGAGTACATCATGCGAAATGCTGGCCTTGGGTGAATCACAAGCCGAAATTAAGATTGCTGGGGAAAACGATCCCACTCTAATGGCAGAAAGTGAAGAGGACCTAAAGAGCCTCTTGCTCAAGGTGAAAGAGGAGAGTGCAAAGGTTGGCTTGAAACTCAACATCAAAAAAACTAAGATCATGGCATCCGGCCCCATCACTCCTTGGCAAATAGAAGGGGAAGTCATGGAAGCAGTGACAGACTTCAAGTTCCTGGGATCCAAGATCACTGCAGATGGTGACTGCAGCCATGAAATTAAAAGACGCCTGCTCCTTGGGAGGAAAGCTATGGCAAACCTAGACAGCATAATAAAAAGTAGAGATCTCACCTTGCCAATAAAAGTCCGTATGGTCAAAGCAATGGTATTCCCAGTAGTAATTTTTGGGTGCAAGAGTTGGACGATAAAGAAGGCTGAGTGCTGAAGAACAGATGCTTTCGATTTATGGTGCTGGAGAAGATTCTTGAGAGTCCCTTAGATTGCAAGGACATCAAATCAGTCAATCGTAAAAGAAACCAACCCTGACTGTTCCTTGGAAGGCCAGATACTGAAGCTGAAGCTCAAATACTTTGGCCACCAAATGAAAAGGAAGCACTCACTGGAAAAGACTCTGATGCTGGGAAAGATTGAAGGTAAAAGAAGGGGACAGCAAAGGATGAGATGGTCAGACAGTGTTATTGATGTAACGAACATGAAATTAAGCAAACTCCGGAGGACAATGGAAGACAGGAGGGCCTGGCATGATGTGGTCTATGGGGTCGCAAAGAGTCAGACTCAACTGTGTGACTGAACAACAAAAATAAGAAATGGTGGAAGAAAAATTAGCAACTATATACTTACTCCCTTGAAGACGGGAAAGAACTTTTAAGTTGCAAGCATTTTAGTCTTGGGAGGTGTGGGGAGGTTGTATCTCAGATGGTGATGACTGGAAATTTATCTTCTTCGTATTTTATAATTTTCCTTTTTCAATTTTCAATTGCATGTGAAGACGTATTTATTAAATCTTCACTATACTTTATAAACCTTGGGCTCTCAAAGACTGAGCTTCTGGTTTTGGGGGACAGTTAGCCGTGTTGACTGAAGAAGAGGCTTTTGAATGAGGAAGTCACTCTGACTTCAGAAATCGTTTATGGTACCATGGAGGTATGCAAGGGGAGGAGGGGTAATGAATAGGGAGAACAAACTCCAAGACTACCGGCATTAATGATCTGTGCCTCTATATCCCAAATTCTCCTCCTTACCACCTGCAAGATTGCTACCTCACCACAGTTATAGAGGGGTTCCAGATCAATACCTAGGGTACCCACCTTTTTCACTATGGCCTGTGACCACTCTGATGTATAAGGGTCAGCTAAAAGTTGGACCATTAGGCTAGCAGGAGGAGATCGAAAATGGAGCCGAAGCCAATATTTGATCGTAATGATCCAAGCCCGAGATTCTATCAAGTGGAGACCCAGCTCCTTATAAAGGGCAAAAAGTGACACTGAGTTGGAAACACCAAGAATCCTGCGCAGAAAAGTGGAGTAGATGCTCTCAACTCTCCTAGTAAAAGACTGAATCCAGATAGGAATCCCGTATAGCAGACGAGATATAACAGCCGCTTGGAACATCTTAAGCGCAGCCGGTACAAATTGGTTGCCCTTGTGGAAAAAAA